ATTAGAATACATAGGAATTTTTTAAGTTTTCACATGGTGAGTTCTATCACTGATTCACAATTCAGCTATGTCAATAGAACTTTAAGATTCTGGCTACAGGGCCTGAAGAGATGGCTCAGCAGTTAAGGGCACTGACTGCTCTTGCAGAGGATCCGGGTTCTATTGCCAGCACCCACGTAACAGCTACAAACCGTGCTTGATTCCAGTTCTAGGGGAAATCTGACACTGGTGCACTCTTACAAATGTAGTCAACACACTCAGACACATAAAATAAAAATAAAATATATATTTAACAATGAGATTCTAGCTACAGGGATAAAGTATCATGTGCCAATGTACAACTGAAATTAAGACCTGCTCTATAATCCAAAAATAATTCCTCTAACAAGTGGAAATGATGTGCAGATATTCCCAATACGTTAATTTGTAAATTTAAGGAATCCAAGACCTACACAGCAAAACTAACGTTTGTACAAAGTAGATTGTTGTCTATGAAAGGATGGAGAACAGTAAAAATACTGATAGAAAATTCTCCTCACTTACAGACAGCAGATTGATGTAGTTCTCCAACATCACCTCCCTATTAAAAGCCCTCTGAGCAGAGTCTAGGCATTCCCACTCCTCCTGGGAGAAGTCTATGGACACGTCCTGAATATCAGTGGATCCTAAAATGAAAAATATCAATGAGACCATGTGCACTCAAACAGGGTGCTGGACCTAAGAAAGGAAGAAATAATGAGAAAACAACTTCTGAATTAGAGGAGAAATCTTAATTATTCAAAAGGATATTTCTTAATGGAGTAACTATAATTTATTTGCTAAATCTTTATAAAAATGAATAGCATCAGACCCTCCAAATTTTTGTGAAGATTATGATATTAAGGAGCACAGCACATAAATTAAGCCCTCAACATACGAATACCATTTCCCTACTATATTTGCAGCACACAATATCAATTGTATATATTAATCTGATGTAAAGTCACACTGATATATGTCTTTTTATGAATTCAATCTGGTGTCTGCTTATAACCATGCACTGTAGTCATAGCTAA